AATTTTGCAATGAGCTTTCGGTCAATGTATGAAAGCCATTAACGCTCGCAATTGCCACACAAGCTTAATTTTGATATATCGAATAAGTTTAATTGCAGGACCAAATAAACCCGAGTGGTTTATATAAACAGGTAGGTGAATATCTTGCCTCACGATGCCATAGAAGCCCTATGGCCTTGTCCTTAATAGGTTGTTTTCATCCACGGTGTAATGTATTTTTGATCTCGTTTGAGTCTCATCAGCACGCACAACGAGAGTCAAGCCCGAGTAATTTAGGGTAAATTCTTAACGTGTTACCACTAAGCCACACGTTATTGAATGGCAGTTGCTCAAGGAGTATAGGTTGCTTGCGAGATAAGCCAGTATGTAACAAAATCGCTGGTGAGACTCAATGGAGTGAAAAATACCACTTTGGAGGCAAGCTTCAGTGAAATTCTACGGCAGCATGAAGCCAACTCGTAATTACGGAATAATTTAACTATCACTTATGCATCACTAGATCAACTAATTCTCTTAATGAAGATATAGTGATAGACTGGGAACGTAGTTTCTAGGAGTAAAAAAGAAATTCGCTGAAACTTAAAGGATAAATATGAAATTATTTTAGATTTGCAATAACTTTTTAAGTGGGCTAGTTTGTTTAAAAAAGCCTAAAAAAGCATAGTCAAATCGAAGGTATGAAGACCAAAATGGTGTAGCATTTGTGTGGTCGCAATCTCCTTTCGTTGTAAAGAGGTAGTTTGAACTTGTTTTCGCAACTTGGTCATATTGGTAAGAAGACTTAGAGGAACGCATCTAGTCCGGAGTCCATTGTATGCATGATCATTTCGAAAGTCGGACCGTAGACGTGGTACTTTCCGAGACGTTTCGCCGGTATCGTCAGTGAGTCTCGCCATTCTTATCACCATAGTACACCCGTCAAAGAAACAAATGAAGCCCATCCTTTGACCAAACGTGTGCTAGACAGTTGTGGTATCTCCCCTTCTGCCCTGGGCTATTCACATTTCCTATATCCTCCTATCATGCATTCACTGTTGCACTTTTTACCGTGCTTATTTTGATGTAGTGTGGTGGGCTCCTTCGAGCGGCATTCATGAAAACTCTTCACACTCCAAGCTATCGTTCTAACCCTATTCACCTTTGCACTGGGAATGTAGATCAAAGTGTGCCATCTTGTTACGCAGTCCTCCTTCCCTAGGTCTTATCATAGTCTCTCTCTTGTTCCATCATATCCGTCTGCTTCACGTTTTTTACTCGAGTCCTGTCCTCCATCTGTGCTACTCGAGGTGTTATTCGCCCTCCCCTGCGTCTGGGTGATTAATTCGAGGCAAAAGCCTCTGAGTAAGTCTCATGGTCATGCTTTTGCTACATGGACCACGTCTCTTGTAAAGCCTAATGCATTTTGGGCATAATGCCGAATTTCCGTGACGGTTTGCTTATCGGTTAGTACAGCCCCCTGACTGCCAGGCCCCCAAAATTGTACTGGTTTATTCGAAATAGGCATCCCGCACTAACGACATCGCTTTATTGCCGAAAACCCCTTACCACCAGTTCCTTTCACGCGATCCCTTTTCCTCCTTTTAGCGATAGATCCTTGATCCAGGCGTCTTCTGTCCACTGGTCTTGCTCCATTCTTGTTTTCTTCGAGTTTGCTTAGGCAGTAGGCAAATTTATCGCTAACTCTACCTTCCTCCAATCTCCTGTTCATTAAATTTTTCTCTCCAGGGATGTTAACGGCCTCCGTAATCTTGCGCATCCCCATATGGAGCTCTTTCTTCTGTTGCCTCCCAATTAATCTCGTGTTCAGTCTGTGCGATGTCCCGCTAGTTCTGATCATTCGGTATCC